GAGTCAATCTGCTGTTGGCTTTCACTTTCAGTTTTGCTGGCAATAGTTTAAAAGCAATAGCCATCAATTCCTGCATAGTATACCTTTAATAACATCATGCCTAATATTCACACAACAGTAGTGGATGAACACATGCATAAATTTGCATTTTCTTTTGCTGATTTTCTGAAATTTGGGATTTGGATGGAAACCTGGTGACTGTGCCCAGCTCTTGATTTCACTCTCACATAGTTAGCAAATAGGAATGTGTGTGTGTGTGTGTGTGTGTGTGTGTGTCCAAATACAGTGTTGGAAAGATGATTTTAGAACTTTTACACATTTTATAGCCAACCGCCTGTTTCATGCCCTCATCTCTGTGTCTGTCCCTTTAGCCTGACCAGTGACAACAGCTTATTGTTCAGGTAACCAGCATGGTCTGTATTAACATGTGTATTAATAACCACAAGAAGTGTGTTTGTAGATGCAGTTTTAACCTGTGTGAAGTGTGTTCAGACAGGAAACCCTGACATTCCCTCGAATCAACACTCTTAATATTTTGGGGATAAGTTGTCGGTATTTATCCCTCAGGTTAATGGAAATGCTTTTTTACATTTGTTGCCTTCCTGAATGCAGCTAATGGGCGCTGCTGGCCTCAAGCTGACCAGTTTATAAACTGTTGCTGAGAGAGAAAACATGAAAAGCTTTTTCCTCTGAAGGTGAAAAGTGTCTGGTTGGAATGTAAAATAAAGGTTTTAAGCCTTGAAGGTTCGTCCTTCAATCTGCAGGTCCTGTTTCTCCTGCTTTTCAAAATGGACTCAACGAAAGTCGTGTGCCATCATTGCAGATTGATCAGTGTGGTTAAATGAAGTTTAGTAAATACGTAAATTTTATGTTGGCTCGAGCTGTGACATGATGACTTCACCCATTTGTTTTGATTACACCCGTGATTGATAGTGTTATAATGCCAAGCAGGCTGGGCTCCTAAACATGATCAGTCATTCACTCAATTATTCAAATTAAGCATTGGTATTACAACTGCAGCCTTAACCTCTAATGTCTTGCTTTACCGCTGCAATAAATCAAACTCACCTCTCGCCTCCAAAACATTTTGAGGGAAAGCTCTCAACCATCGTGCGCTCTCTGCTTTTATAAAACAGTATTCTTTTTTTGGCACACAGTTGCTGCCAAAACCAAACCTAAGACCCACAAAACATTCAGACAGACACTACAAATTTTCACCTCTGCAAGTTTTGTTAACAGCTGAACGGCCCTGCATCTAATTTGGTCAAAATCTTACCTGAATTATTCAGATGAAGCAGGGTGTTTCAAACTCTTGGGGATGTAAACAACTAAATAAGTGCCTTGACAACCTGCCTCTGTGTGCTTTAAGAACTCACAAAGCAATTAGAATAATCAAGCTTTATTAATGTTCATATTTCCACCTTTCAGAGTCGTGTGACTAAAAATAGCAGCTTTAAATTAATTGTAAAAAGAAGATGTGACACCAAAGCTAAAACACAGCAATCAGACAATCCTTCAAGAACATCTTGGCAGCATAAACAACAGAATGCCACGGCAGTGAGGCAATTTTGACATTGAAGATAAAGCGAGGAGCGTTGTGTTCAATTTTAAATAAAAGGAGGATTTTCATGGTCTCAGTGGCAGCGAAGTCAAAGCAACAGAGAAGTGCCTCTGGGGTTTGAATATATCACTCTGTACATCATTAATATGCATGCTGCTTAACAGTTCAAGGCACTATGTATATACAGTATGCATGACATTTAACATTATTATCTTACCTTTACTGATGTCAGTATGTTTTAAAAGCAGCAGACATAAAAAGCGAAAAACACTTGATGAAAACACACCATAAACTGAGGATTTAAAGTGTTTCACATGTGGCCTGACAGACAAGGCGTCAAAGAAGAGGAAAAGAGAAAAGAGGAGCAGCCTATTAAAAATAAGAGCAGAATCCAATCAACTCTGCAGCCATATCTCCCACACAAGCTTTAAAGTCAGACACTGGGTTAAGAGTCTTAATTTTTTATCTTTTTGCAGGCAGATCCGACCAGTAGTGGCCGATACCAGGAAGGATTTCTCTCATTTCAATGCAGGCCTCAGGGAAGATCAATTGCTAAAAATAATGGGATCTCAAACCGAGATGCCCTTGTACTCTCTACTTCACTCAAAAAAAGAAAACTAAATATGTAGGGAGTTTACTAAGTAGTTTTTTGCTGATAAAAATGTAACAATGACTCAGCAGAAACAGCCACTTCACACTGACATGAAACATAAATTTGAGTATGAGCTTAAAGGATAAGGCTGGTGATATTCTATATTTTTCTTGCTATCAACAAATCCTATGAAAATGCCACATCCAACAATGTATTGATCCTACTAACGAGTACTTCCTGTGTATTAAAGCCTGATACATCATATTCCTGCCATTGTTGTCCAAAAAATAGTAGAACCACATCAGTGAGTCTCACTGCAGTGACATTTGCCTTCATAAAAATGAACTCAGGCACTGTAGTTTATTTTGAGCCAATCCATTTTACACTTTCTCTCTGGCAGTGATGTTCAGTAGAGCATTAAGTGTATTAATCCACTGCTGAAAAAAATAGTCCCTTGTAGGCCTAGTCCACATGTACAGGGGGATTCTTTTTAAAATAGTAAATGGACCTGCACTTTCATAGCACCTTTCTAGTCATCTGACCACTCAAAGTGCTTTTTACACTACAAGTCACATTCACCCATTCACACACACATTCACACACTGTTGGCCGAGGCTACCATACAAGGTGCCACCTGCTACCCAGTAACCATTCACAAGCTCTCACACTGATGGAACAGCCATCTGGAGCAATTTGGGGTCCAATATCTTCCTCAAGGATACTTCAGCAAGTAGACTGGAGGAGCCTTGGATCAAACCACTGATCTTCTGATTAGTAGAGGCTCTACCTCTGAGCCACAGCTGCCCCAATGCAGCTTTTTCAATGTGTTTTAGTCATTCGTCCACATGCAAAGTGTATTTTAAGATCCTGACACACCAAGTCGACGGTCAGCTGATGGTCAATGTTGGGCTGTCAGTGAGTGTCCGTGGCTCTTTTCACTGTGGCGTGTCTCACAGTGTTGGCCCTCGTCAGCGCTAGCTAGAGCTTAGAATCTTTGCCCGAACCTGAACCCGACCCGTGGGCCAGGTCGGGCTGTAATTAACAACACTTAAGAGGCACATGACGAAGGCTTGCCATGGAAAGAAAGACGAGAGTCAGCCTTCAGTGTCCACGTTCGTATCCTTAAAAAAAATGTCGGGTTTAAACCGGGCTTTGGTTCGTAATTACAGTTAAAGGGATGATGTCCGGGCCGGGCTCAGACAGAACATGCACAGGCTCAGGTGGGGTCGGGCTGAATTTTTTTGGGCCCGATCTAAGCTCTAGCGCTAGTCAGCTTTTCTTCTACAGATTCAATATGTTGAATGCCGATTCAACGTATGAATCAGCATCAGCAACTCATTACACACTCATTACATCTGAGGACTTAATTGGCGAGACCTTGCAGCGAGAGATTTAAACGTCGCTTCAGCAACTACTGCTCTGGGCGTTTGTGTGTGCCTCTGTTATTGTGGGTATCCTCATCATGATCCAGAACAACTGATCTGATAATCAAGAGTCAGAAATGATTAGGGAGCTGACAAAGGACTCACATAGGCTTGGGCGGCATCTATTTTTTCATACCTTTATATCGTGATATTTCACTGGGGCTTTCAGTACATAGCCATATTTCTGTAAAAAAAAAAAAAACAGCTATTTTCCTTATTAAATATACAACTGTTCACCTTCTGAATTCAAGTTTTTCTCTTTCACCGAGATAATTGTTCTTACAAACTAAGCTGACAGTCGGCCATCGGTTGATATTGGGCTGTGAATGTCTAAAAGAATGCCTGTTGCCCTTGTATTGGCAATGAGTCCTGCTCTAATGGCAATAGTTAGTCCTTGTAGTCTTTTGTTTTCGTGCTGATTCAGTATGTTGAATCAGCGAAGGAGACAGCAGAGCCTGTTGGTGAATGAAATCACTCTGGCAGTTCAGCGCGCGTTAAGAGAAACAGAAGTGAGGAAAGTAAAAAAGAGCTAAAGTCAAGAGGGACTGAGACCAAAACAAACGTGTGACATAAGGTAAGATTATTTTTCTTTATCCAAATTTTTAGTCTGTAGTCATCTTAACCAAACTTTCAGTTACTATTTACTGCTCACTTCCTTCTTCAGTTGGGAGTAGGGCTGGTTCATCAATAGGAGCAGTATATGAGGACACAGGGCCGCTGAGGATGAAGCTGTGTCTGTACTTTGTCCTGATACCAGGCAGGACAGGGACAACTGATTTAGTATGAATAGCTTGCTAGACGTTTGCCTGTATTGATGAAACGACGACTTACAGAGGAGCAAAATGGAAACACTCAGAATTTTCTGTGAAGATATTAACTAATATCAGTGGGGGATATGTAGTCTGTTTGACTGAACAGGTAAATTTCCACCACTCACAGACTACACCCACCTTTCTTTGTGAAGAACTGGGTGAACTGGGTGAACTGGGTGACATAAGCCGACTGTCACCCTGTCTTTTATCTGTCCTGCCTTTCTTTTCATTTTTCCTGCCCAGATTTTTCCTTTTGAAGCTGAGACATGATGCTCAGCTCCAGTGACACTCACTGCTCTCTGTCAGCAATACCATTTGCACCTGGTTTGGGGGGAAGGGCTAAACCATTTTGTGTAAATAGGGGGGGAAACAGAGGCTCTCTGGACATTTAATTTTTGCCAAAAACAAGAAAAGGAAAAGAAACATTAACCTTTATGAGTACATTGTAAATATACTCTTCTATTATTGATTACAGGTAAATCATTTTCTTTTTAATAAAACATTTTTAATGTTCTAATATTTTTAGTACATATTTGTTCTGACTTTTCTCCCTCATACAGCACCACTGTTTGGCGTGCTTTTGACAGTGTTTCAGCTGTGTTTTTGCATTTTAATTTGGAGGGAGATTTTCTATAACAGTGGTTGTGTAGATGGGACCTTTTTGTTTATTGAGATCGAAAAATACCACTGTACATGTGGACTAAATGTTGGTGTGAAGTTAGCTAAAAAAAAAAAAAATAGTGTCAAGCTATTTTAGACAGTTTACAGTTCCAACTTGTTTTAAAGATTTATGTCTTCACTTTAGTATTCAGTGTGCTTGGAGGGCCACAGACAGGGCAGGGACGACAGAGAGTGTTGACAGTTGGTTGGGATTTCTTAACAATAAGAAAATACACAATAACAGCAGCTTTATCCTTTAGCAGTTTGTAATAAACCTCATTTCCCAGTACTACACCAAGCCCAATAATTTGAAACCAATAAGTCACAAATTAATAATTGTAAAGTAGAAATAAAAATGCAGCAGCCAACTTCAGTCTATCATCAATCACAAATATTTGTTCACCAAGAATTTGACAACCAAATACATTTACAGTTTACCAAATCAGTTCTTGATCACATAAAGCTGCACTAATATACAAAAGTGAAAGGTGTCTCTTGCAGTGATGAACCCCACAGACAATCTGAGCATCTTTCAACTCGTCTTTTTGGTTTTGTGGTCTGCAAACAGGCAGCTGCTATTAGCATACAAAGGAGGATAAAACAAAGATAAATCCACTGTGTTCTACCTACTCTGCTCTAAATGGAAGAAAGATAAAAGCCCTATTCACATGGGACCAGAATTACCTGGGGACCTCTAGTAATTTGTCATAATTGCAGAGGTCGTCTCTGATCTAAATCCCGTGCTAATCTACCATGTCTGTGATTTGTCAAGTAAAGATTTCACTGCAAATTACTCACCATACTTGGACAAACAGAGGTTGTGTGATTTGTCCTGTGTGAATCGGCATCTTGTGATAAGGGCTCTTATTTCTTTTATTTTGTTTTGTTTGTTTGTTGGTTTTCTCTGCGCCTTTTTTCTGCCTGTGTGTCTGAATCGCTTTGTTTGTTTAAACCCACATCAGAAAAAAAGGTTAATACTGCACATCGCAGCTGGTGGTGCTGTGTAGTTTTTCTATGATGCGTAATGTGGAGTTACAAATGAATGTGCATCATATCTGGAGGATAATGGCGAAGATAGTGGAGCATGTAGCAGAGAAAGTGCAAGATAGGAGCTGGCGCAGAACAAAACAGAGCGAAAAAGAGAGTAAATATTGACCTGAGTTCACTATTATCTGAACCCTAAATTAATATGAATGTTGCTGTGTGAGCAGCTGTTTAATAACATGTTTGCTAAGATGATATTGAGGTCATAATATATGAGTGCTGTGTTTACGGCTCGTTCCTCTGCCCCCAGCTGACTGGAAAAAAATCAATGAACGCAGCTTTAAAGGCTTATGTGTGATATTAGCTGTGATTTCATGGTCAGATTGCAAAGTTGAGTTGTTTTATATATAATGAATACAGAACCAAGAATCCATCCAGCTTTGGAGTCAAGTGGCCTGTTTTTATTTTTCTGTGATGAGGCAAACTCATCTTCACTCAACAAGCCACAGTTTCAGACTGTGACACAGCATCTACTCTTCACTTGGAGCATGAAATCAGCACTTTCACATCTTCACACTGGGTCGGTGGACTAAAGAGGTTATTTTGCAAAAACGCAGGTGTGTCCCTTTAAAAAAAAGTCTGCTCTAGCTGTTGGTGTCTTTCTCCTCTAATGGATGTACAGCAGGTTTTGTAGCAGCAGTGAGCGAGCAGTAGCGGTGCTTGGCTGGTAGATGGACCGGAACTGTCTGTCTGTGTGACAGAGCTGCTGCAGGCAGGCCTCCAAGTCTCCACTATAAACCTTATGTGTCTCCAACACCTGGCACTACCCACACTGGCTGTCTGTTTGATGTGTATGTGCGCGTGTTTGCATGTTTCCAGTGTGTCTCTAGCCATGTTGGACTGAGAGTGACTAATCCGCGCTAACAGATCCCTCTGAAGCAAGCAGACGCTCCAAAAGCCAAAATGCTATTTAACTGCTGCATGACCAAGGTAAAGTGCTTGCTTCCCTTGTTTTACAAGTTCATGTTTTTTTTCTCTCCCAGCTCCCACAGAGGCCACAGTGAAGAGTAAACTCTGAGAGAGTGGATTTGTCAGTTGCTGTGGATACACACCACTACGCTCAACATCCAGATGCCTCCTCTTCGCTGTTGTCGCAGATCAAGACTTCTTCAGCAGGAAGATAACTCCTGAATGAATGATTGCTTTTTTTTTTCAAGTGCAAACTGGCTGTTCTGCAGATGTTCATTAGTTCCTCTGTTTTTCCCACAAACTGTAGCGGTGTCTCTTTGGTGAAGGTGTCAAATGATAATTCTTGTGGAAAATGGACATTAAGCTGCACTCTAGCTTGTATTGTCTGTGATCAGCTTTGCATTCAGCTTTGATTTATGTGTCTTGTGCTATTTGAATATTGGGATTCCGGTGTGTGTGAGACAATTGCAAAAGCTTATTAAAACGAATCACACAGGCTCCTGGTGTGTATGAATTGATTATTTCTCAGGATGCGATACGAGTCAGTGAGCCAAGGCGTCACGAGGGAGCACTTCACATGAATATTTGCTTCTTAGTTTTCTCACGTCTGAGTGTGAAGGAGACAGGAAGAGGGACTTTATCTGTCAGCAGTGGAAAGTAACTACGTAGACTTACTCAGGTACCGTATTCAGGTAGTTGTAGTTTACGTCACTATTTCTATTTTATGTTACTTTATCTGCCCATTGTGCTGGTTACGTTTAAGACTCAAACACACAAACATATCTGCATCTTAAATATGATTCCTGGTAGATTAAACTACACAGCAATTGGCAGAAGTAGCATCAGTAGATCTGGGTCATGCGGTTTATATCAATACCATGGTATTTACAGTGTGTGCAGTGTTTTTCCAATAACACACAACAGCAGTTGTGTGGAGCTGTGGATCAATGTTCATTGTCCCTGAGAATAAAACAAAAAACGATATTTGAAACAGCAAATGTGTGCAAAATCACATGAAATATTGGTATTGGATGTTTATTTTAAATGTGTAAAAAAAGACATGAACAGACAAACAAGCAGACAGAAAAAGTAATATTTACAAATGAATGAAATGAAAAGCATATATGAAAAGCAACATTCGAAAAGGAGTCGGGTGAAGTATAAACTTAAGTCCCACTCCTCCATAAGTCACGAAGTGAAATGAAACAGCTTCCTTTTATAGATAAACCTGTACCTGAGACTAAATATACCATTGTTATTACCTTTTAACTTTGTCACAAAAAATAACCCATGTACAGTACAGGCCAAAAGTTTGGACACACCTTCTCATTCAATGCGTTTTCTTTATTTTCATGACTATTTACATTGTAGATTCTCACTGAAGGCATCAAAACTATGAATGAACACATGTGGAGTTATGTACTTAACAAAAAAAGGTGAAATAACTGAAAACATGTTTTATATTCTAGTTTCTTCAAAATAGCCACCCTTTGCTCTGATTACTGCTTTGCACACTCTTGGCATTCTCTCCATGAGCTTCAAGAGGTAGTCACCTGAAATGGTTTTCCAACAGTCTTGAAGGAGTTCCCAGAGGTGTTTAGCACTTGTTGGCCCCTTTGCCTTCACTCTGCGGTCCAGCTCACCCCAAACCATCTGGATTGGGTTCAGGTCCGGTGACTGTGGAGGCCAGGTCATCTGCCGCAGCACTCCATCACTCTCCTTCTTGGTCAAATAGCCCTTACACAGCCTGGAGGTGTGTTTGGGGTCATTGTCCTGTTGAAAAATAAATGATCGTCCAACTAAACGCAAACCGGATGGGATGGCATGTCGCTGCAGGATGCTGTGGTAGCCATGCTGGTTCAGTGTGCCTTCAATTTTGATTAAATCCCCAACAGTGTCACCAGCAAAACACCCCCACACCATCACACCTCCTCCTCCATGCTTCACAGTGGGAACCAGGCATGTGGAATCCATCCGTTCACCTTTTCTGCGTCTCACAAAGACACGGCGGTTGGAACCAAAGATCTCAAATTTGGACTCATCAGACCAAAGCACAGATTTCCACTGGTCTAATGTCCATTCCTTGTGTTTGTTGGCCCAAACAAATCTCTTCTGCTTGTTGCCTCTCCGTAGCAGTGGTTTCCTAGCAGCTATTTGACCATGAAGGCCTGATTGGCGCAGTCTCCTCTTAACAGTTGTTCTAGAGATGGGTCTGCTGCTAGAACTCTGTGTGGCATTCATCTGGTCTCTGATCTGAGCTGCTGTTAACTTGCCATTTCTGAGGCTGGTGACTCGGATGAACTTATCCTCAGAAGCAGAGGTGACTCTTGGTCTTCCTTTCCTGGGTCGGTCCTCATGTGTGCCAGTTTCGTTGTAGCGCTTGATGGTTTTTGCGACTCCACTTGGGGACACATTTAAAGTTTTTGCAATTTTCCGGACTGACTGACCTTCATTTCTTAAAGTAATGATGGCCACTCGTTTTTCTTTAGTTAGCTGATTGGTTCTTGCCATAATATGAATTTTAACAGTTGTCCAATAGGGCTGTCGGCTGTGTATTAACCTGACTTCTGCACAACACAACTGATGGTCCCAACCCCATTGATAAAGCAAGAAATTCCACTAATTAACCCTGATAAGGCACACCTGTGAAGTGGAAACCATTTCAGGTGACTACCTCTTGAAGCTCATGGAGAGAATGCCAAGAGTGTGCAAAGCAGTAATCAGAGCAAAGGGTGGCTATTTTGAAGAAACTAGAATATAAAACATGTTTTCAGTTATTTCACCTTTTTTTGTTAAGTACATAACTCCACATGTGTTCATTCATAGTTTTGATGCCTTCAGTGAGAATCTACAATGTAAATAGTCATGAAAATAAAGAAAACGCATTGAATGAGAAGGTGTGTCCAAACTTTTGGCCTGTACTGTATGTGTATATAATAGTAAGCACCAAAAATCTATCTTACAAAAACCATATCTTAGTATACAATATAGATTACCAATTATTCATGACTTACAAGTATAAACCATTCCAAATGTATATAATACCAATGGTCTTTATCTCACAAAAAAAAGCATTTATATCTTCATCAACATGCCCTGTCCTGTACCAATAATCAAATAATCAAATTCATTTTCAATGTAATGAACTGTGTTCCACTGTAATGATTTACATAAGAAAAAACTTTTCACAGATGTAAATCAGAAGCTTTAGTTACAATTTTGGTAGTTTAGCACAGAAACTTTGCCTAGATGAATTAAATCAATGTATTAAAATGATAACAGAAGTATTATCACCATATGATAATAGTGACTTATCACTGAGCCCTTTTTTCATCATGAATAAGTATAAGCAGTAATAATTTGACACAACTATGATGTACAGTGATAATATATCACTCTGAAAGGAGAAATTCAGCAACACAAATATTTAAACGTTTGATCTCTGTTTTTGGTCTCTACTGACTCCTGAGGGAAATATTTGGCTCTTTAGCAGCTAAATACTGCCATTTGGTGCTGAGCAGGTAGTGTACAGTGAGTAAACAGCTGCCTGCTGCGGCTGGAAATGACACCATGAGAGCAGTGAGAGTGAACCAGAACAGTAAAGTTGCAGCTGAGCCACTTAACAATGAGCAGAAGCTCAGGATGAAGCTCCATAAAGCTGAGCTGCAGATTCAGGTGGTGATTCTCTTTGGGTTCAACCCAGTCACCAGAATAAATGTTGGGATTTTGGAACCACAGATATATTAAATTTTCATATGCAGCAGATATGTTGAAACTTTAAACTTCAATTTTCAATTTTATATTATGACAACAATTTGATTAATAAGTGATTACATGTAGTCACAAAACCCCCTTGGTCAGGGTTGGGAAAACATAATGTTTATGCTTATAAATACCTGATTTCTGTTGCCATAAACATAGCTGGAAATGACCTGAACTAAAAATACCCACTCTTCTTGGTCTCGCACACCAGTCTACAGCTCTCCGCTGCTTGGCAGACGTCCAGTGGCATAGTGGAAGGTAAACCCACCTCTTCTTTCTTGCCATTTACAGCATGCCCACCTATCATCCAAACAGCCATTGGAATATATAGGAGAGTGTGCCCACTCCCTCCTCTGTAACCTACCCATCTACCAAGTAGTACATGCTGACCTACGTCACTTTAGAAATGTTGATGTGATACGTTTGAAATGTACAAATGTAACATATCTGTGGTTTGCAGAAAAGTACAATGCCAGCATTTTATTCTGGTGACAGGGCTGGTGGTTCATCACAACAAGAGACTCCTCACACGTTCTCACAATTTCTAGATTGTCATTTGACACATTAGTATTAAAAAATTATTTACGACACTTCTGTCCTTTCGCTTAAAGGCACAGCACCACGGTGAGTAAGTGGTTAGCATTGCCACCTCACAGCAAGAGGGTTTCTGAGGTGGGGGAGCCCTTCTGTGCAGAGAGGTTTTCTCCATCCTGGCTGTGAAGTTGCATAGCAGATACTTCTCCGGTGTGCCAAGCATGTAGGAGAACTATGGTGGCCAACGCAAAAACGAATGGCCCTGTCTAGAGCTAGTGTTTGTTTGTCCACTGTGGGCTACTGTAGAAGATGGCAGACTCCTAAGAAGAGGACCTGCTCCGTATGTAGATATAAGCTCATCTAAGGTAACAAAAACACAAAGATTCTCAGGTAATCATACATTAATGAAAACATCATTATAAATATTACATTCCATTTCTGCCAATGGGCGGCACGGTGGTGTGGTGGTTAGCACTCTCGCCTCACAGCAAGAGGGTTGCCGGTTCGATCCCGGGCGTGGGAGCCCTTCTGTGCGGAGTTTGCATGTTCTCCCCGTGTCAGTGTGGGTTCTCTCCGGGCACTCCGGCTTCCTCCCACAGTCCAAAGACATGCAGGTTAATTGATAACTCTAAATTGTCCGTAGGTGTGAATGTGAGCGTGAATGGTTGTTTGTCTCTATGTGTCAGCCCTGCAATAGTCTGGCGACCTGTCCAGGGTGTACCCTGCCTCTCGCCCGATGTCAGCTGGGATAGGCTCCAGCCCCCCCGCGACCCTCAAGAGGATGAAGCGATTAGAAGATGAATGAATTTCTGCCAATATATCCCCCTAAATTCTTTACACAGGCAGCTGTTGCTCAGGACGTAGAGCGGGTAGTTCCTCTGGTTCACATGTTGAAATATCCTTGGGCAAGATGAACCCCAAATTGCACCCACTGGCTGTGCCATCGGTGAGTGAATGCCAGATTTTTACTTGTAAGTGTTATATTGTCGTGTTTGGCTACTAATTTACCCTGAGTAAAGGATTTGAATTCCTCTTCTGGCAGCAACAGTAATTTCACAGTTTTCACATTCCTAGACTCCCCGTTTTTGGACGCCCACAGCACCTGTTCATTTTTAACAACAATCATCAATCCTCCCCCTTCTCTCCTTTTTTCTCTTTATTTCCTTTTTGTCTCCGTGCTGTCCAAATGCCATCCACCAGGC